CAAGATTCTCATGGTTATATTCAAAAATCTTTGTCCAAATTTCCCGTAAATAACGTTTATATTGTTTTATTTGATTAAAATACCAATAAATGAAGAAAAATCAACATTATTTAATATATCATAAGCATAGCTTATTTTTTCTTATTGGATTTTCTCACAAGAAAGATTTTAGTAATGCAACAAATGTAAAAGATGGAAGTGTTACAAATACGTTAAAGAATAATATATTAAAAGAAGAGTCTTCAAGCTTAAATATGTTTTCTATAGCATTATAGGCTTAGTTTTATCCATAAACTGTATTTTGTGGTGGTGGCCTTAGAAATAGACATTGTATCTTCTGTAGGTTCAAGAAGATGGTCTAACACCATATCAGCTAAAAGAAGACTAAAAACATTTTTAGTTTTAATAGAACTATTGTTATTAGAGAAATCTGGATGATTTAAAATAGTTACAGTTTTCTTTTGAAGAGGTTATTGAGACTTATCATTTACTGAACTGAAGTGACTGTAAACGTTTATTAAGATCTTTGTGTAGTTTTTTTTTTTTTTTTTTCATATTAAAATTGAGTAGAATAGTAAAATTTTTAAAAAATTCTTATGTTAGACTCAATTTTTAAACATGTCGATCAAACTATATTGAGGATTTTTTAACTATGCTATATAAATGTTCGTGTATCCTCATAAAATCAGTAGTTCAAATTTTAGTCACGAGCCAATTGGCAAGTCAATTACATCTACTGGTTCACAAATTTCATATCGTCATATCGTCATATAGTCATATAAACCCTTTCTGACCTTCCCCTTGGCTTCAAAAAATCAAAACAAAACGACTCAACGACCAAAAGACCGTCAGAGTAGTTGGCTTGACCCAAAAACTCGCGATAAAAGCTTAGTGGCTTTCTTTAATTGCTCGCATTAAGGTAAGTTACAAGATTCTCATGGTTATATTCAAAAATCTTTGTCCAAATTTCCCGTAAATAACGTTTATATTGTTTTATTTGATTACAATATTATAGCATGGAACCTACACCAACTTCTACACAGGAAGAGATACTTGCTGGTGATAATCCTTTAAACTATAATAATACAACTCCAAATCAATATGGTTCAAATTCATTTTCAACTCCTCCTCGACCTTCTATCCGCTGTCCTGCATTAACTGTCTTTCTTCATCAGCTCAATTTATCGCAATATCATAGCCTATTTGTTGAGGCTGGAGTTGGAGAAAATGACCTTGAGCAGTTACTTGGATTTGACGAAGCGGAGCTTAAAGAAGTTATGTCTGCTATATCTATGAAACCTTTTCATTCTGCCGCATTTAAAAAAGGGATTAGGGAACTACGACAAACTTACTCTCCAATGTTATCATCTGGTCATTCGTATCCAACACCTTTAACATATCCAAACGTTCAATCGACGATGCCTGTGGTAAGTTTCTTAGTTGCCCATATTTTATTTTATTTATTTTATTTTATTTCATTGAAATATTTAATATTCAACAATCATCATCTTATAATCTAGTCTCCCGTTGAGTTCCAAACAGGTTCTATGAGTCCAACACGTAAATTGGTAAAGATAGCTCCAGCAGGTGAAAAGACGCCAACGTATTTAGATAAACCTACAAGACCTGCAAAGATGCAATCTCCATTTTTGCAGAATACGGCTCAACCGATGCAAGAAGATCAGGATGTATTTATGGAACACGAACCGACACCTCAAGATATTCTTTCTACACCTACAAATATGATTTTATCAGAAAGCTCAAATTCGTTACCGATAAATACTTCCACAACTTCAAAGGATGTTATTATACATCATGCGACCATTTATGGAAAGAATAGTCCAAGACAATTGACCTCATATGAACAGGCTATCAATTGTGCAGCTATAGAGTTGGCTCTTCAAGATCCAGCTTTAGTTGCTAATAAAGGAATGTTATTTGAAAAGGCCAAAGAAAAACTTTTGCGTGAGGGATATAGTTACAAACGTGGTGCATCACGCTCAAAATTAAATCCGAATGCCCCTAAACCAGGTTCGAGAGCATCACGCGCAACCCTTCGTGCTAAGAGAAATGCACATGCTGCTCAAAATAGTGAACATCGAAACGCAAGAATTGCGGAATTAGAACGTAAAATGAAAGTTAAAGAGACACAGTATGAAATGGCTATAGAAGCTATGAAGTCCAAATCAGCGCAAAAGGATTCGGACAGGGCACAGATAGCTTTAGAAGAACTTGAAAAGGAGAGAATTGAAATGGGTAAAGAGTTGGTCATTTTGAAAAGTAAGGAACGTAAACATCGATGGTATGAACAAAAGAAAAAAGAAAGAATGGATCCTGGGTTCGATGAGAGTGTTGAAGAATCTTTAAACGATGATAATGATAATGAACCAAAACAGAACGTTAAACTTGAAAATTCTATAATAGAAGCAGAAGAGTAAAAAGATGGAAATTATTATTATTATTTTTATTTTTAAATTCCATCTTTCAAAATTTTCTTGAATTTACTTTATTGTGGTTTTTTTTAATAAGGCTCTTGTATATATATATATAAAGTCTCTTTTTATAAATCGAAAATTTTTTTTTACGTTTTAGGTTCCAACCTTTAAAACGTGTTTAAGAGATGAACTATTTTCCTTTTAAAGAAAGAAGATAACGGAATATTGTATTGTTGTGAACAATTCAAAACTGTTGATGAAGAGAAGCAACAAATTCTATACCTCATTATATAAAAATGGATAAAGAATTGATAATGTGTTGAATTTCTTAAATGTGAAAATTATTATTTCGTTAAAAATTTCTTTGCGGATTTTTTTATCTTTATTGCCCGTCTCTTCATTTCCTTAAAAAAAAAAAAAAACAAAAAATAAAAAGGCTTTTTTTTTTTTGCTTAAATATTATTATTTAAGTTGAAAAAAAAAATTTTTTTATTTTAAAATGTGTCAAATAATTTTATACTTTTTCTTTTATAATTTAATTTTTTTAAACCTTATGACTATTTATTTTAATTTCTCAATCGATTTATTTTTTTTTTTTTTTGTTTCTTCCTTTTTTTTTGAAACTTTTAATAAAAGTTAATATTCTTACAGATTCAAAATTGACAAATTGGCACCTGTCCCTTCCTTCATTGAAGAGCTCTGTTAATTTTTCTTTTTAAAGATCAAGTTAAACTTTACCGGTAAATTTGTTCATATAAAGTAAAAATACAGATTTTATTCGTTATTCATGAACATCACTAACAGTTCTCGCATCATTAAAATATATACAATTTCTACATAAATGACAATATCGATTTATTTGAAGTATTCTATGTTCGTAAGTTTGTTCAAAGTATAAAAGTTCCGAGCAATTTAAACACCATTCTTGAATTTCATGCGTCAAAAAATCTGAATTTCTTGGTTCATGTTCACAATTGGTTTTGCAACAATTATTTTTGCTTTCTACGGCCACCGCGTTTGGAAGGTCCGGATGTTGATACAGCATCTGATACTTTTCTAGACCTACCACGCTTCGCTGGTGGTGCTGGAGTTCTTACAGATTCTGAAGCATCCGATTTTCTTGTATTTCTAGTTCTTCTGCCGCCTTTCTTTGCATCTGCTAAATTTAAATTTTTAAAAAGGTGTGAGTGAAGAGTGATTTAATATATAACTTTTATGATCATCGATACATAACCTTCAGGTTCAGGTGATAATGTTTCGATTGAAGCGGTATGCGAAGGAGTGGACGAAAGCTCTCTTTTTCCCTTTTGAGCCTTCGAAGGCGCTGGTGAAGGTGAAGCACCACGTGAAGAACCAGCCTTTCGATGCTCAGCAATGAGATTATAATATTCATCCATAGGTAGACTAAATTCTGCATGTGGTTTATCCTCATCACCCTCATCATCGAATTCTCGTTCCTATTAATTATGAATGAAAATTAACCTCATAAAATCGAAGAATAATTCGAGTGTATGAATATTCTTTACCAATTCTTCAAGTTTTTCTACGTTAAAATATTTACTAAACTGATCCCAAAGTTGCGGTATTGAACATTTTACCGGACTGTTTTCATTAAAGTCACGATGTATATTCACCATACGAAAATGTCTATGGATGCCTATAATAACAAACTATAAAGTCATGGAGGTAGTTAAAATAATTAAATAGATTTCAACTTACCAACTGGCCTATTCTTCATAACGGCACGGAAAAACTCAATTTCCATTTTAGCATCCATACTGAGAAAAATAAAAGAGTATAGTAAAGAAACAAATTAGTGAAATAAGATGAGTTCGAAAATGTAAAAGAGAATATTTTATAAAATAAGTCAAATGTGTTGTCCATTATTGACTATTGGAGAATTTGTCCTCGTGGACGTCGGTCAATCGAAATGCGCAGTTACAAACTTTCTGCAAGTTGAAAATCTTTTTTTCTGATTCACGTATTTACGCGGTATTTTAAATCTTTAAAATCGGAGTAAAACTTGTAAAAAATATTTAATTAGGATATGAAAAGTTGATAATCACCTGCTTTTTCGGTGTGTTACTTTTGATTACAAGATAACCAAAAATTTTCCTTTTGTTTCAAATAAAGAATTTAGCTTGTCGAGAGACCTGAAAATTACGATAAATATATATTTACTTTGCTTATCCTAACTATTTTGCTCTCTTTTTTTTTTTTCTTTTTTTCTTTTTTTCTTTCTCTCTTTTTTTTTTTATTTCTTACATTTGATTAATAATCAGCTCCAAGTAACTATTATCTAATACATCTTTACGTTGTAAAAAAATTTTGCTCGAATTTTACGATTCAAAAGAATTTTTTCAATTTCACCAATTTTTTCTTGATTCTGAGGATAAGCTTAGTTTTTAAAGGAGTTCATTGACTCAAACGTTTCTTAAGAATAATGGCAGATAAAATTGTTGACGCGAATAGTTCAAATACTAAGCAACCTATTATTCGTTTGGTACCATTTAATGTGCCGTTTATAAGGCGACGTCAAACAGCCGTAGTTTTTATGTGGCTGGTTTCTTTACCTGCAACTCTTTTTGTTTTCTTCATATCTTGCACAATAGTTTTCTTTTTACCGTGGATCATTGCTTATTTGTTATTTGTGCTTTTTGATATTGCACCGGAAAACGGTGGTAGAAGGTTTGAATTCGCCAGAAGAGCTCCCTTCTGGAGATGGTACGCTGATTATTTTCCAATAAAATTAATTAAGGTATGATCAAAGAATCGAAAGGTCTTTTTGATTTGAAGGGATTTAAAAATTAAACGAATTCAATTTGATTATTAGCAAGTCGATTTAGATCCAACAAAAAATTACGTGTTTGGATATCATCCACACGGAGTTATTTCAGTTGGAGCATGGACAAACTTTGTTACAGAAGCAAATGATTTCTCAAAGTTATTTCCCGGAATTACATGTCGTTTATTAACTCTCGCAACTAATTTTAATATTCCACTTTATCGTGATTATTTAATGGCCCAAGGTTGTGCTTCAGTATCCAGACAATCTTGTGAAAATATTTTAAGGAAAGGTCATGGGCATTCCATTTTAATTGTAGTTGGTGGTGCTGGTGAAAGTTTAAATGCGCGTCCCGGCGTTTATGATTTAGTCTTAAAAAGAAGGTTCGGTTTCATAAAATTAGCTGTTCGTAACGGGTAAGTCATTAAAAAATAGGAATTCGAGTATGCAATGAATTATTATTAATTCATGTTTTGGTCTGAAATAGAGCTTGTCTGTGTCCCGTATTTTCATTTGGAGAAAATGATATATGGGATCAGGCTGATAATCCCAAAGGAAGCAAAATCTGGAAGGTTCAAAAGACGATACAAAAATTATCCGGTTGGACAATGCCTTTATTTCATGGTCGTGGTGTATTTAATTGTAAGTGATAAACAACATAAAAAGAAGATATATTACATTTTATAATTTATTTTATTAATGTCATACTCTTGTTGTAGATAACTTTGGTGTTTTACCTCACAGGAGACAAATCACAACAGTTGTTGGAAGACCAATTCAAGTTGAAAAAATTGAAAATCCAACGGAAGAACAACTCCTTAAGGTACAGGAGAAATATATTGACGAGTTGTACAATATTTGGAATGAATATAAAGACATATATGCAAAGAATAGAGTGAGAGAATTAACCCTTATCGAGTAAATTTAAATCATAAAAAAAAAATTATCTTAAAAAAAAAAACCTTTTTTTCTTTTGGGCCAATAATCATATAAATAAAAATTTTTAAAAGTTCGAAATTATTTATTAATTTCATAAATCAGCAAAGAATGAATTATTTAATGTTTTTCCTTTACTATTGCTTTTACTTCCACTTTGGTTTTCACCCAAATCCAAATCCATATTTTCATCATCTTTATCGCTTTTCTTTTCATCCTCTTCACCTTCATCCTCATCCTCATCATAAAGATATCTTATATCCCAAAATTTTACAGTGTTATCATGAGAACAACTTGCTAATAAATTATTATCATGTGATAATTTTAAACATTCGATAGGAAAATCTTCGTGATCTCCTATTACGCCTAAAAACTTATTTGGTAAGATACCAATAAGTCGAATTATACCATCAGAAGAACCTGTACAAACCAAATCCTCGTTAATTTTAACCAACGTATCAATTGATTGTGGATGACCTACTATTCTATCAGATGTATCTCCCCAATTATTCCATGTAAATAAATTTACTATTCCTTCTTGTGTCCCAACTACAGCTTTTCTCCCATCCTAAATTAAAAGAAGACGGTTATGATTTTGAGGTTATTGATAAATATTTCCTATATGATATTTACCTTAACTATGGTTACAGACAATAATTCATCGTCTTGGTTATCAGACATTGCAATTGAATCTGGTCTACGTATATCGTAAATTGATAATGTTCCGTCACCACTTTAACCATCGAAAAAGCGAAAAAAGAAATTTTGATTAAAAGGTCGTTTAAAGGAAAAAAGGGGGAAAAAAAAAGTATTTCAACGTTACCTGGTAGATAAGAGAGTTCTCGTATCTGCACGAAATGCAAAATCAGAAATGAAATCTTGGTGTTCGGAATATTCCATAATTTCATTTCCATTTCTTATATCCCATAACTAATGAATGAAAGGAATATAAAAATTTTTTTTTTTTTTTTTAAAAAAAAAGTTTTTCTCAATACAAAATTAACTACTTTGATAATCCCGTTATCATCGCCTGTGGCTAATGTATTCTCGTTTAATCGTAATATACAATAGATGGGATAACTTATTATAAAGAAATAAAAAATAAGTTATGATCAATTTAAAATTTTCTCTTCAAGAAATTGAATCAAGAAAAAGATAATTTACTCGTGTGAATCAACTTTCTTTACGAGAGTTTCACCAGTTTCAAGATTTATTACTTGTATCGACCTATCCTTTGATACACTAAACAAAGCTGAATTAAAATTAAATAAAAAAAATAAAGATAAAAAAAATCGAATCAATTGTTTTTCATTTTCTTTCATTTTTTTTTTTTTTTTTTTTTTTGAAACCCATATACATACCAGCACCGTCATGACTAAATTCTAAGCCACGACAAGATTTATTATGTGGACGAATTGATAATATGTTTATATTCTCATTTACAGCGTATCGATGACTTAAAATATAAAAAAAATATTAAATTATAAATTATTTTTTTTTTTTTTTAAAAAAAAAAAGTGAATGTGGATCATCATGTACCAGTATACTTCTCCAGTTATTAACCCTGTCGCAATTATATTTTCGGATGGGTGAAATGCTATATGGAAAACTTGATTATCGAATTCTAACGAATCCGGTTGTTGTAATTGAATTTGTGAGGTCTAAAAAAAAAAAAAAATGTAATTAAATATGAAAAGAAAAAAGAAATTTAAAATATCGTATTAATAAAAAATCTTACCATTTTTTTTTTTTTTGTAAAAAAAAATAAAAAATAAAAATATCACTATTTATTAAAAAAAAAAAAAAAAAAAAATCTAATCTAAAAAAATATATATATAAGATTGATAAAAACTTCGAAAATTAAAAAAAAAATGTCGATCTATGAAAAAGTCGAAACATTTTTATCTCCTTATTATTCAAAAGAAACAATTATACATGAAAATAAACCATTCGTTACATTGACATATGCACAAAGTTTAGATGGGAAAATTTCTGGGAAAGGTGGTAAACAACTTATTTTAAGTTGTAAAGAATCAATGATAATGACTCATAGGTATCATTAAACTCGAGAAAAGGTTTATTACCGTCTTGATAAGAATTTTTCGTTTGTAAGCATTAATTTGATTATTTTAGAATGAGAACTCTTCATGATGGAATTATGGTTGGCATTGGTACTATATTAAACGATAATCCAAGATTAACAGGTGAATATTTTCTTTATGATTTACCCAATTACCTTTCTAATTATTTCGTTGAATTTTTAGCGAGATTATTGGAAACTGAGATAGAATTAACAGTCAATCAACCTCAACCTATAATTTTGGATTCAAGATTGCGATTTCCTCTATCGGCTAAATTGTTAACATCTAACGAATGTAAATCACCTTGGATATTTACAAGTCATAATTGCGACAATGATAAACGAAAGGTACGTATCAACTTTTGCGTTGAGTTCATAAATAAATTTGCTTGATACGATGTTTATAAATAGTTATTAGAACAAGCAGGAGCTAAAGTTATTTCTATAGATTCGGATCAAAATGGTAACTTCTCTCTTTCAATTTTCTTATCATAGAATTATATGTAATTATTAAACATTCATTCATAACTAAATTTACAGGACAACTTTCTCTTTTGCATTTATTGTCGATATTACATTCTCCACCTTTCTCAATTAAACGTCTTATGGTAGAAGGTGGTGCAAGAATTATACAATCTTTTTTAAAAAGTGAATTACCAAACTTATTGATTATAACTATTGCTCCCGTATTCGTTGGACCAAATGCAATATCTTGTATCGGTGACAAAATATCTATAGAGGTAATTATTTACTTTGATCATTTCATATAATTCGTGATTAATGTTAAAAAATTAAAAAATTTTTCTTTTAGGAAGATGAAGATAAGATTCCAAATTTGAAAAATGTAAAATATGAGCAATTAGGCAGAGATATTATCATGGTAGCGAATATTTAATTTAAATTGCACGTTTCACAAATTTTGATCTTTTTCACTTCGTCAAAAACATTTTTAATCCCACTTAGTTTTAAAAGAAAATTGCTTTATAAGTTTCTTAGCGATTTTCTTAATCATTTAGTGGGTAAATTAATCTGCCTTGATCTATTTACTCAAAGATTTTTTTTTTAATTATGAACTATTGAGCTTATTCCACAAGGCACATTTAATTATTTTTAAATACTTATAAATTTTTTTTATAAAAAAAAAAATAAATAAATAATAAAAATAAAAATCGGTAATCTCATTATATAAATTTATAAAAACAAAACCTTACTATGAGAATTAATCATCATCACTATCACTACTATCACTATCACTATCACCCTCTTTCTTCTTTTTCGGATCTCCTCCTCCTGCCACTGCAGCTGCAAATCCTTGTTCCCTCATTAATTTCATTTGTCCTGCAATAGAATCTTCCTCTGGTTCTGAAATATCATCATCAATCTCCTCTTCTGGAGGAAGTTCTGATAATTTTTTAACATCAAGCTATTTTTTTTTAATTTAAAGAAAGATTTTTTTTTTTTAGTAATGTAAATATTAAAAATTTATGATAATATATAAATGTTATTTACCCTTAAATCTTTTCTTATATCAGCACCAACATATGAATCACTCTTAATATATGCAACAAAAGAATATAAACCTGGTTCTTGTGGTGCTTGTAATTGACGTTTAATTGTCTTAGTTGTAACAATATCTGTGACCTTCACTGGTTCAATAATAATTTTATCTTTTTTATCATCTGCCATAAATATCCACCAATATGGTTTTTTGTCTCTTGATAAATATGGTGCATGTACAAAATCGTTCTTTTCGTTTGATATTTGTTTATTTCTGCTTGCACCGAATAACAATTCATCTTCACTATCAAGATAACTTCCTTTTTCTTCTTCGTCATCTTCTTCATTTTCATTACTAATTCCATTCATTTTAACTTCCTCGACTTTTGATTTTGAATTCACTACTCTAAGCTTAATAACTAATGTGACGATGGATCCAGGTGTTATAATCTTATCTCCAACAACTAAAATAATTCAAAAGGATTAGAATGACTTAATTCTTACATAAATGTCAATAAAACAAAAAATTTTCATACCTTTGAAATATGCACGATCTATTTGTACAAGTGGATATAATTTAGCGACTTGCATAAAGGAGTCGTATTCAGAGGGAGATAATGATCCTTTGAATATATTGCTTAAATAATGGATATGATAAATAATATTACATAAATTATAATTTCTCATGAAATTCACTAAGATCCTAAACTTACTTTCTTTCTTCTTCACTCATATCACGAAGTTGAGCAATATTTCTTATGTTTTTTTTTTTTATCTTCATTGTTTTCAATACATCCTGATTAATGTAAGGTAATTGAACAAGCATATTCTCTTGGAACCACATTGCTTGAACTAAAAGTTGTGAAAGCTCCATGCAACGTAAGCTTGTTTGAAGCCAACGATGTGCTAATGCAATATCAAGTATACCGTTGATAAGATGTATAGAACGCTCTACAATAAAATATTTATCTATACAAATATAGCAAATGATAATAATAATTAAACTAATGAATGCAAATTAAAGATAAAAATGATTTAAAATCATTACCTTTCAACAAATCTTCATCAGCAAAATTGACTCTCAATAAATGAGCATGAAGTAATGCATTTGCTTTTTGACAATATGGTGCAGTGTACTATTATTTATTAAAAAAAGATACAGATGGAAAATTTTTAATTAAAAAATTCCCGAAATTGTTATGTTAAAGCTTCACACTTACTCTTTTGCTCATCTGATATTTTTCACTAAACCTTTTGTCCAATTCTTCTTTCACTGATGATATTACTTGTGGTAACAATGTCTCATCTGATACTCTATGTTCTATCAATTCCTTATATTCCACTGAAGCAGAAAGCAAATCTAATATCTGCCTTATCGTGGAATTATTTCTCAATTCTTTGAAATACAAGTCCATTGTATGAGTTCTAATCTTATCCTTGGTATAAGAATTAGAACTATACCACCATCGACCCTAAATAAATAAAATATCAATCATCTAATTCCTCTTAATAAGAGAGATTATCTTTAACTTTGTACTTACTACAAAGAAGGGAAGGCCTATTCCAAACGCCAGAGCATAAATACCGAGTACAAATGGACTATTTTTGGCTTCGATCAACCATGTCGGTAGGGCAATACCCAAAGAATAAGCTATATTTGAAAAATACAAAATTTTTAGTTTTTCAATTAACTTTAATAACTAACACACATGAATTTTCAACATAATATAATCGATTAAGAACCAACCTTGTTTACCATCGGGATGACCCCATTCCTCATAATTTTTACGTATATCTTCATCCGTCAATCTAATTAAGACGGATCATATATATTAAGATTATAACAAATGTATAACACGGAATAACAAAACAAGAATATTTACACTTTATAGGCTTTAGTAAAGTCAATGAATTTACTTTCATATTCAGTTTTCTTATCTGCTGGGGCCTTGTCAGGATGCCTTATAAAAAAGCAAATCAATCATATTTTTTTTAACGTTATAAATAAAATACACCCGATATAAAAGGTATGATAATCACCATTTCCTACTGAGCTCTTTGAAATGTTTTTTAATTTGTGGAAGTGGCGTACCCTGTAAAAAATATCATTTTTTAGTAAAAAATTTCTAGGTAATTAAATTTTATATAAAGATACCAACCTCAGAAATGCCCAATACTTCATATGGATCCCATACATCAATTTCAAATTTGACGGTTGTAATCTGGTAAATTAAATAAGCAAAGCATACCCATCCGACTGCAGTAAATATAGCCCTTTATTTAGAAAAAGTAATTAAATAAATTATTGATCTTGAATAAGAAATATGCTTTTAAATTATACAAACTTTTTGTTGATACGATCGGATAGACTCGTTTTTCGGTTTTTCAGATAATTTTCTTTACGTAAACATGCTTCACAATTGCAAGTAGGTTTGCGAATTTTCGAATCTAAATAAAGTTTAATGGATCTTAAAATATGCACATTTTATAGAGAAAAATACTTCAAAGGAAAAAATTAAAAAAAAGAAGCATTTGACAAAAAAACAATACCAACCCTTATTCTTATTAAAAAGCAAAGAAATTGTGGTTGGGATAAGAAATAATGATAAAAAAGTTAAAATAAAATAGTTAAAAGTAACACCCTGTTCGTCGTAAATGTATCGCATTTTTTTTTTAAAAAAAAAAAAAAAGAGAGAGAAAGAGGGAATGTTAAATATTAATTCGAAAAGGTTGAATTTTAATTTTCAAAAAAAAAATTATAGATAAAAAACATTTGTGCAACCACAAAGCGTGGCAACTTTCCACTGGTCCTAACCAATAAAAAGTTTGATCGGGCTCAGTAAAATCGTGTAAGTAGTCTTGTTCAACCCATTTTAATTGGATTAATTTCTTGTTATATCATTCTAATTTATTATTAAAAGTTAATTATATAAAATTCTTAAGCCGTAACCTGACGAAATGGTCAGAATTTTGATAACGTTATAGAAGTTATAAGTAAGTTGGTTAATAAAAATATTTCTATAATTAGTAAATCAAATATTTTGATAAATAGAATGTCGTTCTATGAAATTCATAATTTGATAAGTTTGTATCACAAGCTTATTGATTAACTTTATCTTATTATACTCGTGACATTGAACATAAAATTTTAACAAATTTTAATTTCAAAATTTCGAAAATATTTTAAAAATTATGCTTTTTATCCATTTGTACACAATATCTGCTTTGATATACACAACTTCTCATTTTCTTTTCTTAATAAATTTTCACAGTCACTGGTAATAGGCTTCATTCTCTGACGCTCTTTTTGCTTAATATAATTTTTAATCACCTTATTTAACAAATCTTCCACTTCGGGATAGATACTACTTGCCTGTTCTAGTGATAATGGATGTTTTCGTGATGTAAGATGTCGCTATGTATCTATTTTGATGGAATGAGAAAGCTGGTTAAGTTACTTTAAGTAATATACATGAAAAGATGGTGTTAGTATACCAGTCATTTCTTATAGATAATTAAAAAATTTTGAAAATTTTATAGATTCAGAAATTTTATAAGAAAAAATTTAAAAATTCTGAGAATCTAAGAATTCTGAACATTTGGTGAATTTAGAGCATTCTGCCAGCCACATAGGTGAAGTCTACCAGAATATAGTCATACGCGTTAATGTCACAAGAGATTAGCTAGTAAACTCCTCTAATCAAAAATGCATATGATACCCGACTATTAGTAGGGATACCTAGCTGAAATTTCACATGATCATGTCTTTTGTAATAAAGATAATAGATTTTTTATTAATATGTTTTGCAATAGCTTGTCTTCCAATTTTGCAACTCTGACCTTAAGCTCAAGATTCTCAACCATAATTTTATTGTTCTCAGCCTTAAGCTCACTAATATGAATCAGTCTTACCAGAACCATTTATTTCAGATTGCATGCTTATGTAATGTAGTATTAGTATGTTAATATAGTGCAAACAACTTAGTCCCAACGAATAAAATTAATAAAATTTAAATTACTACTACTCACTCAAAAAATAATAAGCATAAAATATAATCATAGAATGATAAAGTAAATCAAGTTTAACAAAACTATGATTTTAGTTTTTTTATAAAATGATTTTTGGTAGAGTATTAGAAATTTAAAGTTAGACCATTTTATTATTAAATCAGATATTTTAGCCACTTTACACATAATACATGTGATCATAATTCCTATTGTTAATTAACTGATTTATATTTTGTAATACTAGGTTATTTTTAATCATATTTTGCTAAGAATAAAACAAATTTGTCTCCTATTCTATAACAATAAAGTGATCTGTTATAATAAATATTCATTTTAAAATCTAAAAGCATTAATGTTTAAAAAAAAAATAAGTTTATTAAGTTTTTTGCA